TGGAGCTTGAGGATGACCCCTAGCCGAGCGACCGACTACACACCTTTCTTCATGGTCTACGGTTCTGAGACGGTCCTCCCAACTGACCTCGACTACAGAGCGCCGAGGGTTAGGGCGTACGACGAGTAGGGAGCCGAGGCATCCCTTGAGGAAGCCATGGATCAGCTCGATGAAGCGTGTGATGTTGCCCTCCTCTGCTTGGCCAAGTACCAGCAAGCGTTGCGCCGGTACCACGGCCATCGGGTGCAGGGTCGGGCCTTCAACATCGGGGACTTGGTGCTTCGCCTCGTCTAGAGCAACAAGAACCGCCACAAGCTCTCTCCGCCGTGGGAGGGACCGTACGTCGTCGCGAAGGCGCTCCGACCGGGAACCTACAAGCTCAAGACCATCGATGCTAAAGTCTTCATCAACGCCTAGAACATTGAACAACTACATCGCTTTTACCCCTAGCCTATGCATGTACTTGCAGAAATTAAGAATGATGTTTCTGAAATACGAAAACATTTTCTCTTATCGGTTTCGCTATTTGTCTCCTCGCTCTTCAGTGACACCCGACCCCAGCAACGGTAAGGAGTCGGGCCTCACTCGGGGGCTGATAGGAGTATATCTACCCAAAAACATTTTCTGCGCCCAATCCTCTCTTATGTTAAGATCTAGAAGCAAGGGCTACGAAAACAAATGCCGAGTAAAACTGGTCGGACCATAAGAAACCTACGCACCAGCGGCTACGATGTTTTTGTTCACCAGCGTGATCAGAGTTTTTTCGCCTGGACCCCGAGCTTTACAGCCTTAACTATGAAAAGGGTCGGAACACATGAACCTTTTTATACACAAAAAAAGGGAGAAGAACCAAAAGTCTATTTGGCCATAACAAAAGTTAAAAACTTGTCTACTTATTACAAGATCCCCACCTGGCCTATCTAACTAACTAACCCCTCGGGGGATGACCTCATCCTTGATCTTGACAAATAGGTCCTGCTTCAGGGGGGCCACCGACTCTCGATCTCCTCTAGCTTAGCGGAGTAACCGAGCGTGAAGCCTTGACTCACCGTCGCCAGATCGATGTTCTCGTAGTGAGAACGAGCGATCGCAAATGACCGATGAACACCAAAGTGAAGCACGTCCCTCATGATCTCGCATGCCCGATCTATAATCCGGACGGCGTGGACCGTGAGCGAGCTCATTTCCTACTCTCGGGCCAGCTCGAGGTCATCGCAGATCAACTGGACGGTGACACATAGGGTATCATGCTCATCGCTCTCCTTCAGGAGGGAGGCCTTCAGCTCGTTGAGCTCCTTCTCTAGGCCACAGCTCTTCGTCACCTCCACCCCAAGCTTGTCATCAAGACCTGTCCAACTCACATACCGACCGTGTCAAAACCGGAGGCTTACCGTCCATGTCCGCCCGAAGCTTGCGCACCTCATCGCGCTGCCAGGTCACCTTGGCCTCCAGGCGTCGAACCTCTTCCTGGCGCTGATCGACCTCCGTGGCAAGCCTGGCGAACACGCCCTTGGCCGCAACCTTCAGGTCCCTCTCCCCCTTAAGCTCACCCTCGAGGAGGTTGATCCGCTGCTGGGCGTCGGTGCGCTCCTGGCGAGCCAAGTCACACTCCATGCAAAGCTCCTCTATGGCTCGAAGCAAATCATCCTGCTCCTTCCATAGCCGCTCGGCCTCTATGGCGTCCATGCGCGCCCTCTCGATCAGGGCCATGAGCTTCTCCCTGGCCTCGCGGGCATCATCACGAGCATCCTTCTCCCTGACTCGGAGGTCGGCCAGCTCCCGGCGATGGGGCAAGCTCGGACACCTCCTGATGGGCGGCGGTGAGCTATGCGGCTAGCCCCTCATTGTGTCGTGTCTCTTCGACGAGGCGGTCCCAAATGTCCTTCTCATGACAAAGGAATTGAGACTTCTCCCGGCTGCGGACCGTAATGGACTACGGAGAGGACAAGACATAGAGGCGCAAAAATAGAAAATATGAGTCGGAAACATGGTCATATCATACCTGGCCAACCGGGGCGATGATGTCACGCAATGAGATCAGCGCGGTGGTCAGGGCATGAACTGTGGTCCCAACCTCCGTGTGGATGCTCCCCATTCCCTATCCTCCGTGGTGTCGTTAAGGGAAAAAAGCATCACCCTCGGGTCCCACCGGTCTGCCCACTGGATCTAGGATCCTCCCTATGCGTGCGGGTCGCTGTCCACCCGGACCAGAGACCAAGATGGCTCGCGCCGATCCTTAGCGGTGCCGACCCCTCTTGTGGCAGCAACTCCTCTAGAGCGGCCCCTCCGATGGTAGAGGGGGTGAGTGACATGGACACAGAGGCCTGCCCCATTGTCACATCCGCTAAGGAAGCCTCAGGTGCGCCCTCTTCGTCTCGCCTAGCCGTAGACGCGGCCACCTGCACAGACGATGACTCTGGTTGCGCCATCTACGCCTATGACATCGTGGCCGCACCCGGCCGCGCCACGTTCGCCATGGATGCCTTGGGTGCATCCTCCTCCATCCGCCCCACCATAGAGGTGGCCACCTGCATAGATGATGGCTCCGGCTACGCTGTTTCCGCATGTGATGTCGCGGCCACCTGCGCGGATGACGGCTCCAGCTGCGCCATTTTCGCCTGTGATGTCGCGGCCACACCCGACCGCACCACATTCACCACGGGAGCCTCGAACGCGCCCTCCTCGGTCTGCTCCCCCATGAACATAGCCACCAGCTGCGCCCCCAGTCGTTGGTGTGGCCACCCCGGTGCCACTCCAGCACGCCTTCGGTGTAACGCTGGTCGGCTCCTAGCGCGTCTATCGGAGGGCAAGGCTCTTCTTCGGCGCAAACCTCAGGAGAGTCCTACATCCTCCAATGTTGCAAAGGACATGACCGTTAGTTTATGGCAAAAATTTGTTAAAACAAAAGGACAAAAAAACTCTTAGCTCACCTCGATGCCACCGGATGATGACGTTTTGGGGTCGGTTCGCCCGACCCTGGCTGCACCTTGTCGACGCATTGCCGCTTCGAACCCTCCCTCTGCTCGGAGGGTCCGGTTGAAGTGGAGCGGCTAGTTATCGCCTGGCTCAGGGGTGCCTCGGAAGACCTGAACGGAGCAAAGAGGCCGGTTACCGCCGGCTTCGGGTGCGTCAAGGAAGGCCCGGACGGAGCGAGGTGGCTTGATTTCGCCGGCTTTGGGGCGCGTCCTCCCCCTCCTGCCCTGGGCATGCCATGGGAAAGGCCCCGCCTATGGCAGAGACGAGTCCTCGTCCCCTCCTCACAGCTCGTCCCATTGGACGGGCGACCCGGAGCCATCTCCTTCTTCTTCTTCCTCCTCCTCCTCCGAGCCTTGCCGCCGCCTTCCTCGGTTTAGCTTCGCTCGCTCCTTCGCCCGCCACTTCCCCTTCTTGTCGTCCTTCTCCTTCTTCCTCTTCTCATCTGCGGCGCGGTTCGTTGCCCTCACTGCCGCGTGCTTTGGCAGCGGCGCGACAGAGGCCCAAAAGCCCAACACCATCGGTAGCTCGATGAAGCCCGCGTCCGGCCTCATCGCGGGATGCCCTGAGACTAGGAACACGGCGTCGGCCTCCTCCGTCGCCTCCTTGATGCGCTGCGTGACCTCGCTATCATGGAGCGGCCTGTGGGCGAGCACCTCCCCGTCGACGCGCTGCGCGGGTGTCATCCCGTACAGCGGGAGGGCACGCACCATTACCGGCACCACCCTCCTCGTGTGATACGCCCCGATGACACCAGCCCCGTTAATGTCGTGGCTCTTTAGGAACACGATGGCATCAAGGATATTGCGCATCCTCTTCTTTTCCTTCACGGGAAGTCCCCACGACCACACCTGCGGCGCATCTTCGATGAGGCGTCCGGTGAAGTCCGGCAAGGGGGCAGTGACGTCGTTCTTCACGTAGAACCACTACGCATGCCACCCCTTGTTGGACCTCGACATCTGGCAGGGCATGTACTCGGTGGACCGTTGCCCCCGGAGGTGGATTCCCGCGCATCCCATCGGCACCGGTAGGTCCCCAACTCTATCCCTCTTCTTGAGCAGGGAGACAGAGAAGAAGTACCTCCACAGCTCAAAGTGGGGATCGATCCCTAGATATGCCTCGCACAGCGCGATGATGGCCACGATGTGCCATATCCCGTCGGGATTCAGGTGCCGCAACTCGATCTGGTGATGGTGCAGTAGCCCCCAGAAGAACGGGTGGGGAGGAATCCCGAGTCCACGCTCGTGGAAGGGCACGAAGGACACGACGTCAACAGTGTCGAGCGTGCCGACGCTATGCTACCTAATCCACGTACGACTTTCGACGGGGGTATCTGCTAACCATGCCGCCCGCCGTGACAGAATGGAGCGCCACGACCGGCTGACGCCGCCCGCGTATAGCACCAATGATAAATAGGGTCGTGACGTGGAGCCATCCCCATCATTATCTACAGGACCGGCGGGACCCGCGTAAAGGAGATGAAGGACGCCGTGACCCCGGAGGCCTTCTTCCTCCTCGCTTTTCTCTCTCTTTCTCTCGTGTAACCTGCATCTTCCCTTCATCTATAAAAGGGGAAGCACGACGCCCCATAAAAGGCATGGCTAAATGAGCTCAACGAGACTCAACTTTGTTTGATCTTTTTTCTAGAGACTTCGGACCTGCTCCCTCTCTAATCTATTTATAACCCCTACTATAAACTAGTTTCGGTAATACGAGGAGCAACAGACTGGACGTAGAGACATTCCATCTCAACCAGTATAAATTATTGTGTCCTCCAAACACATCTAGATTAGACACGCAGACCATAAATTTACGAGTCAACGATTCGAAACACCGATACAAATAATCCCATCTTTTCAATTCTGTTCAATCGATATATCTACCAGATTCCATCCATTCTAGTACTGCTACTTACATAGTACTACAGGAACTCAAATACCATTTCCATGCACAGTAACGAACCAATTACAATCCAGAACGACCAAAGTCCCAGACTACCTCCAAGGTGCCCAGAAGTTGCGGCCATTTCAATCCTCGCGGGCAGCCCTGCGGTGCGACGACGACGCGGCGGGCGACATCGACGACGACGGCGAAGGCGAGGCCTCGTCGGTGCCGACGGGGACGTCGGAGAGCGGCGCCAGCACGCGCCTGACGCTCATGGAGCGCATGGGCGGAAGCTGAGGGACCTGAGCCGGCCGTCCTTGGAGAAGACGTCGGAGGAGCTGCGGAGGATGAGGTAGACCAGCCCCTGCACTAGCACGAACACAGCCACCTTGGCGAGCGCGTCGCGGAGCTCCGGCGACAGCGACATAAACGCCGACCCGTCCATGGGCGCGGAGAGATGCTGGCAAGGTGGAGAGGGAGATGCGTGTGGATGTGGATGCGGATGCGCGTATGGGTGATCTGTGAGATGCTGGGGAGAGATCGGTAATCCTTGCCTGCTCTCGTCTGCTTTATATAGAACGGCTGCGGCAGCGGCCGGTAGCTTGTGGGTTTGCGGCATGTGCTCTTGCTTGCGTTTGCAGCCTGTTGCGAGTTGTTTTGTCGTGACCGTACACGCAAGCGTGTCTGCTCCATCCCGTTTCGAGCCGCGGTCGCTGTCTTGGAAGCAGCTAGACAACGTAACCATAACACATTAAGCACATGGCTTTGGGCGCAAGGCTTTGGTTGGCTAAGGCCCCGTTTAGATTTCAAAAAATTTTACGTAGTATTCGTCACATCGAATCTTGCGGCACATGTATGAAGTACTAAATGTAGACGAAAAAAAAACTAATTGTACAGTTGGGTGAGAAATCGCGAGACGAAACTTTTAAACCTAATTAGTCTATAATTAGACACTAATTGCCAAATACAAACAAAAGTGTTACAGTAGCCAAAATCCAAAAAAATTTAGATCTAAACGGGGCCTAATCTTCGATGAGTTACCGCGTCAAGGTTTGCTGTTATATATCTCCTACAACAAAAAAGAATAAAACGTGAATATTTTTTGCTGCGATATTTGTTTTGGTTCATCCATCTGCCCACGCCTACAATCCCGCACCCGTCGCTCCGTCGGTCTGCCTTCCCCTGCAATCACCACGAGTCCACGCCACACAAATGGGAACCGCTCCTGTGATTCCTCCGCCCGCCCCCATCATCGCCACCACGGTTGTACGCCCGCCACCGCACCGCCCACTTCGCGCATGGCGACAGCTCGCGCCGCCAAGCTGGCCGTGACGCCGGCCGCACCCACCCTCCTTGCGAGTCCAAAGCTCCCCACGATGGTACGGCCCCGCGGCAGATCCAGATCGGAGGTACTCCCCACTTTCCCCGCTTCTTCTTCGTGTCACAAGCGACCCCGGACCCCTCGCCGGATTGGATCTCGCGCTTCGTCGGTGCCGGTGCCAGAGCCGGAGATGATGTCATCATCGTCGGATGCGGCCGTGGCGCTGGAGCTGCAGGAGTCCGAGTGGGAAGAGCTGCGGCGTGAGGCGCGGAAGCTGGAGGGCGACCTCGACATGAAGCTCTCCTCCTACGCGCGCCTCGCCCGCGACGAGCTGGACGCCCTGGGTGTCGGGTTCCGCCACCTGGTCACGCGCACCGGCGTCGTCGCCACGCTTGGCACCGGCCGCCCACCCATTGTCGCGCTCCGGGCCGACATGGACGCGCTGCCCATCCAGGTACATGCCTGCGTGGTGTGTGTGCCGGCATGTACGTGTTGTTCGTGCTACTCATTATTGAACTAATCTTTTCGATTTCTCTCTTCGTTGGATTCAAATCCATTTCCAAAATTTGAGGCGTGCTAAGAAAAGATTATTACTACATAGTACCAGAAATTATTTCAAGCGTGGCAAATTATTAATTTCGTGACGATTCATCTGCGGAGGTGCTTGTTTAATTTTGCCGATTTGTTTTCTTGTCCGTGATAGCATTTTTACTTCAAACATGGTGCCCGTATCTTTTAATATGTGTGCTTATAGCCAAGAATGAAAAGCCACCGCCCATTGCAGTAGTTGTTTGCATTGTTTCTTATGTTGGATGAGCAGGGAGATTAGGTTTAGTGTATCTATCCTGGGAACCGCCATGGAGTTGGGTTTTTGACAAATTTATTAATCTACGAGATATGGAATTGCTTGCCCTTTTAATTCTTCCCATTCTATTCATTTCCAGGAGCCCAATTGAGCCTACAGTGCACTTGTATTGTCTTTTCGGCACCTCTGTGACATGAGCATGGCCTACTACACCTGTATTATCTTTTCGGCACAAAAAAAAAGAAAAATATGACGCATTATGGTGAACGTGAGATGTGATCTCTATTTGCTGTTTTGGAGGCCAAGATATCATACCATGCACTTGCATTTTCCATATCTTATTCTGTGGTCAGTATCGTGGTTACTGTAATTTTGACCAGGGATCTATTTCTCATCTTATTTCAGCGAGTAGTACTCTGGTGAGTTATCAAAGCCATCGGCATACTGTGCTCATGCTCTTCATGCAAAGGCCGAAAAGTGAGTTTTCTCCTCTTCTCCAAAATCACCATCTATTTATCCGAGCCTTGAGGATTGAACCAATGGAACATGAGTTGCAGGGTGTTTCACCTTACTACTTTGAGATGCTGGGAGTACCAAAAACCACCCACCCGACTACTTTTTGCTGGAAAATGGAAATAGTCTGCATGATGTATTGAGGGCATGGACAAATGCTACATTAGACATGTTGCGGTCTGCAATACGGAAGGCACAAAATTATATATAATCTATAGAGCTTGAGACTTGGAGAGCTTGAATTGAATCCAGAGTTCAATTTGATGCAGTTGTCAGTGGAGGATTTTGAGAATAAAATTCAAGTAAACTTTGCTGCTCCTGACTGCTGCCATTGGCATTTCCCTGTTCTGCTTCCCAGTTGTGATGCCTTCTGATTTCTCTCTTTTTTCTATTGGATTGAAGGGGGATGCAATAAAGCGAACATATGAAAGGTCGGTCAAAGCCGCTCAAGATTACGGGATAATGAAAGAGAGCCTAAAGTTTGTTTTCTTGTGCTTTCAAAAAAAATGATGCTTTCACCTGGTTTCAGTCGAGAAGTTGATCCCTCTATCTCTCCATGCAGGTCTTTGGTCCGAACATTTGTGCTTTCCTTAATATACGCGTGCCTCTGCCGGCCCACCTTGTTCGACGGCGTCACGATAGTATTTTGTTTTTAGAAATTTCCAACAACCAGAATGTTTTAGATGATAATTTAGAAAAATAAGAAGTTGGATCAGTTAAACCTGTTTCTCTTTCGATGTTTGATACCTTCAATAATGTTTGTTCTGGGAGTATCTTTTTGTCTGCGATGGTCTAACTAAAACCAGTTATTTGAGTAGAAATTTTGGATCGAGAAGAACAAGGGAGGTTTACATATTCTCTACCTGGGTTGACCGGATAATGCATTCCATATTTAGCTATCAGTTTTCCTTATAACATGTTTTGTACATAGGCCAGAGGCTCATCTTTAGCAGATAACACTGGTAACTGTCTAATATAAAGATGACAGTTTCATTTGGCACTAATGCTTCATATCAGTATATGAGGATGAAAAGAGATTTTGGATGGAATTGTCCGTGAACTATTGTCCTTACAGTACTAGGGTAACAGGTTCAATTGTTTGTTGTTATATCTTGCATGAATTTTTTTTTTGGAATTATTGCTCAAGATATGAAAGTGTCAGTTTTTTGCTTGTTATATGCACCCTTGCAGTTATTAACTTGCACTGGTAGGATTGTGTCTCTTCTCCAGTAACTCAGAACAAGACGAGAAAGTGCTGACATCATTTCTTCTTCTTGCTCGACACTTTCAGGTCCTGGAGATTGCGCAACAGGTCATTGGAGTTCAGGAACACCTTGTTTGGATGTGGCTAAAATCATGTGAGAGATCTCCTTACACCTTCAATCTGCTTCAGGGCAAGGAAGCCAAGGTTGTTTGCTATGGGCTTCACCAATCAGCTCGGCACTCTTAGGCTCTCCCTATTCATAACAATCTTTCTAGGACACTAGATGATTCCCATGGTCTTGCAATCACACAATTAGCAATGTACTCAGTTCTAAATCCCCTAGGTTAATTATGATTTAGCATTTTTGCAGCGCTTTGGTTGCTGCTGCCTGTTGGTCCTTATATTCTAAGTCTCATAGCAAGAAAATTAAAGCCAGAACAACATCTTGGGCGGGGAGCACATGATCTATTTTTTCCTTAGAAAGTGTTTTGAGATACTGTATGCTTTCTTAATCAAAGATGGATGCATATCTGAGTTAAAAGATGTATGCATATCTGGTGGCTAAAAGCTGGACTTTTGGCCAAACCAACAAGGAATCTGTACTGGAATCCTCATTAGTACCTTTTGACAGATGTTTGAATTGCTTTGATTCTATTTTGATTTGGCTATGGGATTTATTTTATTAGAGCTTTATCTCTCGATCATATATGAGATGGATATTTCTTTTTATCCTCTTCAAATGCACAGTTCCACTAAAAGAATGCATTGGTACTCTATTTCTTCAGTAATAGTCGGCTAATGTTTGATTTTCAGTAAAAATTGACATAATCTACTCATGTTTGATTCCTTGCCGGTTGTTATTATTTTTAATTCCTTAATTACCCATGCCCCTTCATCTCTTGTGTCTTCGTTTGGTTGTTTTCGTAAGCATATCTAAAATGCTGCTGTGACGTTAGCACGAGCACTATACGCTTTGTTATCGATGCATATATTTTCTTTTGAATGTTTGATTTGTACTATCAAATGTCGCCATGGCATTAGCATGGGTATTTAATTTCACAGTATTGTTATTTTATCGTGCGATCCATATATTTTTAGTATAAAAGTTTAGTTATCCCGTAATAACCACGGGCACACTACCTACTAATATATAATACTTCCTAGTAAAAAAAAGAGAAAAGGTAAGACCACATCATTACCTTTCTTTCCTGGGTCGTCGTTGGTGACTAGTCATCATGTTCACTGATGCTAAAATTTGATTTATACTGATGTTTACACTAAAATATTATAAAGAAAAACATGATTCCATAACTGAAAAGCTCAAAAGCAGTTCTCTCGAGCGAACAGGGCCAGTATCTCCTCATTCTCGCGGCAGTGACAACCAGAGCATTTGATTAACTGATTTTTTAATCACATGATTAACTGATTTGACCAACGCCATCCATCCAGAAAGAAAACGACTCGAGATGATGATTCATAACAAGACCATCCGGAAACACAAAACCCATCTTGTCCCTTTCTGGTTTCTACTAGAACCCCTGGCTGCATCGGTCCATGGATCGACGCGACGTTCCAATAAACGCTCGCCTTCGAGATACCCAGGCGTGAAAAAAAGAATCGAAATCTTCTAGACGTGAGAAGGAACGTTCTTGACTTGACAATATGATTAACGATTCCATGTGCGGATGTGCCTCCTTGATTTGCATTGCTTGGGTTTCAACGGGTGACAGCAGCAACAACGTGGCCTCGTCTCCTCTGCCCGGGCCAAGAAATAGTAAAGCCTCACCGGCACCGGCTTGCCTGGAGAGTGGAGACCTGGCAGTGGAGACGCCAGCTCGACCGATGAAGCCCGCCGTGCAACCCGTGCGCGTTCGGCGGCCGGCCAACCTCACGCGGTTTGCAAGTGGAGCAAACATGCCGGCGCCCGAACTATGTGGCGGTGCCGGGCGGGCCATGCCCCCCCCATGCCGGGGTGATTGCTTGACTTGTCTCGTCCATCATTGTGGGCGATGTGAGTTCCCCGGAATGATATGTCGCAGGGATAAGTTGTGTTGAGACGTGACCGCTCCCTACACGATGCCAGAAGTTTGACCTTGGGTTGTACTTTCTGGCCCGTAGTGGTTGGCGATGGCGTGAGCTTCCGTCAGGAGCCGTGTCCGAGGGATCGGGCGAGGCAGAGCCCACCCTCTGACGTCGGGCGAGGCGGAGCCCGTCCTCAGACGTCGGGCGAGACGGAGCCCGCGGCCTCGGTGTCGGGTGAGGCGGAGCCCGTCTCTAGAGGTTGGGCGAGGCGGATCGTACGACCTTAGGGTTGGGCGAGGCGGAGCCCACGGCCTTGGTGTCGGGCTAGGCGGAGCCCGTCCCCAGAGGTCGGGCGAGGCGGATCGCACGACCTTGGGGTTGGGCGACGCGGAGCCCGCTCCCAGAGGTCGGACGAGGCGGAGCCTGCGGCCTCGGTGTCGGTTGGAGCTGTAGTCGCACATTTGACTGCCTGGATGGATTAACATATAACGACCATTAGCCCCTCCTCTTCGGGTACCCTAGTATTGGCCCCCGACAGCGCGGGCTCCGTGTCGCCCGACCCTGAGGGCACGGGCTCCGTCTCGCCCGATGTCGAGGGTGCGGGCTCCGTCACGCCTGACCACGAGGGCACGGGCTCCGTCTCGCCAGACCCCTCGGGCGCGGGCTCCGTCACGTCTGACCCCGAGGTTCCGGGCTCCGCCTCGCTCGATCCCTAGGGCGCGGGCTCATTCTCGCCAGATCCCTCAGGCGTGGACTTCGCCTCGCCAGAACCCTTGAAGGGGGATTCCGCCTCGCCCGACGGGGTCCGTACCACCTTCAACTACTATGGGTCTAAGAGTACGAACCCAGGGTCAAACTTTTGACACCAGAAATGGTGTAGGCGCGTCTTGACGTGACCCGCGGCCACGACTGGTCATACTTGAGGACTCACGTCGCCAACAGTGTCGGGCGTGTCGGTGCTATGCTACCTAATCCCTGTACGACTTCCGACAGGGGTATCTGCTAACCATGCCGCCCGCCGGGACGGAATGGAGCGCCACGACCGGCTGACGCCGCCCGCGTATAGCACCAGTGATAAACCGGTCGCGACATAGAGCCATCCCCGTCATTATCTGCAGGACTGGCGGGACCCGCGTAAAGGAGATGAAGGACGCCGCGACCCCGGAGGCATTCTTCCTCCTCGCTTTTCTCTCTCTCTATTTCTCTCGTGTAACCTGCGTCTTCCCCTTCATCCATAAAAGGGAAAGCACGACGCCCTATGAAGGGCAGGGCTGAACGAGCTCAACGAGATTCAACTCTGTTCGACCCTTTCACCATAGACTTGAGACTTGCTCCCTCTCTCGTCTGTTTGTAACCCCTACTAAAAACTAGTTTGGGTAATATAAGCAGCAGTAGATTGGACGTAAGGACATTCCATCCGAACTAGTATAAATTATTGTGTCTTCCGAGCACACCATCCGAGCTAAACACGTAAATTATAAATTTACTGGAACACTGACACAAATAATCCAGTCTTTTCAATTCTGTTCAATCGATATATCTACAAGATTCCATCCATTCTAGTACTGCTACTTACATAGTACTGTAGGAACTCAACTACCATTTCCATGCACAGTAACGAACCAATTGCAATCCAGAACGACCAAAGTCCCAAACTACCTCCAAGGTGCCCAGAAGTTGCGGCCATTTCAATCCTCGCTGGCAGCCCTGCAGTGCGACGACGACGCGGCGGGCGACATCGACGACGACGGCGAAGGCGAGGCCTCGTCGGTGCCGACGGGGACGTCGGAGAGCGGCGCCAGCAGGCGCCTGACGCTCATGGAGCGCATGGAGCGGAAGCTGAGGGACTTGAGCCGGCCGTCCTTGGAGAAGACGTCGGAGGAGCTGCGGAGGATGAGGTAGACCAGCCCCTGCACTAGCACGAACACAGCCACCTTGGCGAGCGCGTCGCGGAGTTCCGGCGCCAGCGACATAAACGCCGACCCGTCCATGGGCGCGGAGAGATGCTGGCAAGGTGGAGAGGGAGATGCGTGTGGATGTGGATGCGCGTATGGGTTGTGAGATGCTGGGGAGAGATCGGTAGTCCTTGCCTGCTCTCGTCTGCTTTATATAGAGCGGCTGCGGCAGCGGCCGGTGGCTTGTGGGTTTGCAGCATGTGCTCTTGCGTTTGCAGCCTGTTGCGAGTTGTTTTGTCGTGACCGTACACGCAAGCGGTGAAGTGGGAGTGCTGTGGGTTTCGTAGGTATCTTCCGGGCTGTGGGTTTCGTCAATTATGTTTTGCTTTGCATTGCAAGAAAGCTCTGGTTTAGTTCGTGAAATTTGGATTTTGGGGATACCGTAACATTTTCGTTTTTATTTGGTAAATAGTGTCCAAACATTAACTAATTAGGCTTAAAACGTTTGTCTCGTAATTTCCCACCAAACTGTGCAATTAGTTTTCTTTTAAATCTACATTTAATCCATTTTCCAACGGCCGCAAACATTCGATTCGATGATGCATTGAAGCAATTTTTTTTGGATTTTGGGGTCCAACTAAACAAGGAGAAGAACAAGTCTGTGTTCGTGACTGTTCACGTTTTCTGTTTACCGGAGCAGTTGGCCAGTTTGACCTGGGGTCCGGGACATCTGTCAATTGTGCGGGCTGCTGACACTGACAGGAAGTTAGGGGGTGATGTGGCATCCTTAGGCCCTGTTTAGATCCCACCTAAAATCCAAAAATTTTCAAGATTTTTCGTCACATCAAATCTTGTGGCACATGCATCGAGCATTAAATGTAGGTAAAAAGAATAACTAATTGTATAGTTTGCCCATAATTAATGAGACAAATCTTTTAAGCCTAAATAATCCATAATTAGATAATTTTTGTCAAATACAAACGAAAATACTACGATAGCCAAAAGCTAAAAATTTTCACATCTAAACGGTGCCTTATTCTCCAGCTAGACGATGGCGTAGGCGTGTCTGCTCCATCCCGTTTCGAGCCGCAGTCGCTGTCTTGGAAGCAGCTAGACAACGTAACCATAACACATTTAGCACATGGCTTTGGGCGCAAGGCTTTGGTTGGCTAATCTTCGATGAGTTACCGCGTCAAGGTTTGCTGTTATATATAATATATAATACTTCCTAGTAAAAAAAGAGAAATGGTAAGACCGCATCATTGACCTTTCTTTCTTGGGTCGTCGCTCGTGACCAGTCGCATTGTTCGTTGATGTTGAAATTTGGTTAGTCGCCATGTTCTGCCATGCTAAAATTTAGTTTATACTGATGTTTATGCTAAAATGTTGTGAGAAAAAAATAATATTCCATAATTGAAAAATAATTCTAAATAAGCTCAAACAAACATGCCACCACCTCCTCGTTGTCTCCTCGTTGTCGCGGACCAACATCCACAAAGAAAATGACTCCGAGACCAGAGCATTTGATTAACTGATTTGACCAACGCCATCCATCCAGAAAGAAAACGACTCGAGATGATGATTCATAACAAGACCATCCGGAAACACAAAACCCATCTTGTCCCTTTCTGGTTTCTACTAGAACCCCTGGCTGCATCGGTCCATGGATCGACGCGACGTTCCAATAAACGCTCGCCTTCGAGATACCCAGGTGTGAAAAAAAAAAAGAATCGAAATCTTCTAGAAATGAGAAGGAACGTTTTTTTTGACAATATCTAACGATTCATGTGCGGATTAATTTTTGATTTGCATTTATATTGGGTTTTCAACGGGTGACAGCAGCAACAAAAATAACTAATTACCTCTGCCCGGGCCAATCAAATAGTAAAGCCTCACCGGCACCGGCTTGCCTGGAGAGTGGACAATAGTGGAGACGCCAGCTCGACCGATCAAAACCCGTGCGCGTTATTCGGCGGGACAACCTCAAATTTTTGCAAGCGGAGCAAACGTGCCGGCGGCCGAACTGTGCGGCGGTGCCGGGCGGGCCATGCCCCCCATGCCGGGGTGATTGCTTGACTTGTCGCAAGAGATGCCGCCAGAAACACTGGAAGCATAGCGCTGCAACTGATATGCATTCTTGAAAGAAACTTCTGTTGCCTTATCACAAAACGACGCTTTGGCCGAGTGGTTAAGGCGTGTGCCTGCTAAGTACATGGGGTTTCCCCGCGAGAGTTCGAATCTCTCAGGCGTCGTCTCTTTTTATTTTATTCACCCATTTTTTTCCTACCAACTTGCAAAATGGAAGCAAAGCTCTTTTTTTCACCCATTTTTGTCCTGCCAACTTGCAAAATGGAAGCAAAACAGCCCAGTAATTGGCAGTTCTCGTCCTTTGAATTATTTGGAAACGAAGGAATGATAAGGTCAAAACCCGTTTATGGACCGGGGCCGGGGCAAAGCACCTACGTCGTTTTGTTATCAATAGACCGTGACTAGATTTTTTTTTTTTTTTCTTTTATTTTTCCGTTATGTTTCAAAAAAAAAAATTGGGCTCCACCTAATTGGACTTTTACCTCTTTGCTTATATCAATTTACAAGCCAGCAGGTTCCGGGTCTTTTGTGTTTTTTTTTAAATAAACAACTTACAAAATCTGAACCGTCGGTCTTTTTTTTCATTTTCTTTTCTCTCACTTTTTTTCGACGAAAAAGAATTATATTAGATAATAGCTGAATACATTACAATGACGTTCGCCTGAGGCCTGACGCGCGCTCGCCTCCATTCCTCCTGCGCAGTGGAGCCCCAGGCTGAGCCGCTCTTCCATTTCGTGGAAGAAGAGAACTAGAGAAGAAGAGATGAGAACAAAACAAAGGAAGGCCCCTTTCATCCTGGCTGAAGAGCGGAGTCTTTTGCTGCTTTGTGTAATACTGCACGTACGAAATAAAGGCAGCGATACATTTACAGGAGCCAGTTATAGGCAGCACTCCCAAGTGTCAAGCAAATACAAACACATGGCAATTTGGGTAGAAAGAGGACTCGACTGGTTTCTTGTTCAGACATTGCTCAGTTCATCCTCATGCTTCCCTTCCCGCTCTACCTCAGGTCTTCAGCGCGGCCGGAGCGTATTTTTGGGGGCGCTGATCCACGGCGTGCCGGCGATGGCGAACCTCCACGGCGCCGCGACATGCTCGGGAGATGCGTACTCGATGCCAACGCGGGGACCAACCAAAATGCTCTCCGGTTCTGGCCCGTCCAATACCTCCAACCCACCTGGGAGGGAAAACGAGCCATTGCTTGGGTGAAAATGGATAAATCAGCGTCAGCGGCTTCAGGCCGTGGTGGAGGTCAGTTGAGCAAGCATACCAGGTGTGTAGAGAGGATGGTTCGACCAATCGGTGGATAGGCCCAGAGCTTGTCCAACCTGACCACGGTGCACAGAAATTTTAAACCTTTTTAATGCTAACACAGCTGTGCAGGAACATTAAGAGAACAAAAATCTGGTAACATTTGTAGCTAAGCAAAAAAAAAAAAAAAAGGCACCTACCTTTCCTGGTCCTGTAAGTAGGGCAGGTTTCTCTGTCTGTTGACCTCGGTGTCGCTGGATAGTTTCAAGACCTGAAACAATTTCAAGAACTTGATTCAAGTCTATTTCGAAATATGTTATACAAGCTTGCATTGACAAGGCAAGAGACACTCAAACTATGGAAAAATCGTTTTACTAACAGATAAGGGAACTGCAGGACCTAAAAAAAATTCAGGAAATTCATTGATGTCGTCGCATCGAGCTTAAAGTATGATAGATGCAAGAGCAGCGATAAAGCAAGACATGCTGAAATTACCAAAAGACCTTCTGATAGACAGATACGGGAAATCCAATTTACAGCGGGAACATGTGGTTCAGTTAGTAGAACTGGAATTTGAGACAAAGGTTGTGCTCTAGTTATCCAATCAAAGAGATTTATTTTACTTTTCTGCCTCAAATTGGAAGAAACACAGAGAATAAATTGTTGTGGTATGTGGGCAAAAACACTCAACACCTCCTCTATCCCTCTTGATCACATAATTATCTAGTGGCACAAATTTCCATTTTCCTCTTCTAGCTACGCTAAGGTAAAAAAAAAAAAGTAAAGTTAGTACAAAATCTTTGTCACAGGTTGCAAAGGTGTAGCTGTTGAACAGAGCAATTTAGTTTTGATATTATAAAAAACAGAAACAAAGCAAGATCCATGAGACCATGACCGACTCCAGCATTAACCTAACATGTTCCATTCAGTTGCAATTGTCAGACTGGTAATGTCACACAGTAATTATGGTATATCTTATGATCCTAGCAGAATCCACAGATAAAAAAAATCACTCTTTATCCAAGCAGCGTGAAAAGTTCGGTGATGAAGTGCTATTGAGCAATGCGTACCGCTAACTGGAGAACAAGACCGGATCAAAACAGCAGCACCAACACCCTCTATATCGGCAACAACATTGAGCATCATGTGGAGTCCATAGCACAGATAGACATATGCATGGCCTCCTGGTCCAAACTACACACAAAGAGGCCCAGATTTTAGCTCATGCTCAAATTTCAAAGCCCCAAATTTGCCATGCTCAGAAAGAATAATGCAGGGAAGGGCTGATCCTACCACTGGAGCAGTCCTCGCTGTGACACCGAACCGGCCATGGCATGCGGAATCATTTGGCCTGTAAGCCTCCACCTGAAATTTCAGGAAAATTCAGAATGTCATAAGTCATAACAATGTTTTTCCATTAGTTTAGCACATCGAGATTTTTTGCCAAATAAAGATGGGTGCTACTACATAGCAAGGGAAATTTAGCCTGAAGCTATTGTAAGAGAGTATAATCTTGATTCATATGAAAAGACGCGAGACTTCTGAAGATGAACAACCTCGGTGATGCGGAGGACGACCTCGTCGCGCCGCAGCAACTTGCCGAGGAGGCGGGGGGCGAGGTCGAGGGCATCCACCTCGAAGAACTCCCGCGGCAATGCGCGCCCAACAGGCAGCACGGCGTCCAACTCCACCGATGCGGGAAGCAGTGCCCTCGCCAACGCCAGGGTCCCCGCCGCCTCGGCCTCGGCCTCGCCCTCTCCGCCACCAGCGGCGACGCGGCGGCTTCTGAGCCGCGACTTGTTCCTGGGCGAGGAGCGCTTGAAGGTTGGGGGCTTGGGCGCGCCGGAGGTGGTCATCGGCGATGGCTCGCCGGCGGCGTTTGTCCGCGGGGAGAGGTGGGGCTTGCTGGGCTTCAGTCGATTTTTAAGAAATTTATTACGTGGAGAATCTAATTAATTACCTTGTCAGTTTTAAGAAACGCAGATAAAAATTATGCCCACGCTTCAGCACGAAGCAAAATCGGCGGCCCAACTCATCCTGGGCCGCTTCATAAGCCTTTTGAATTGGCCCGAAACGGAGTGTCTGCCTACGAATAAAATCGGCCATGCTACCCACCCAACTTGCGTGTCTCCAATGCCTTGTATTTAGAGATTCTCGCTATCCAAAGATAATACTTTATGTTTCATGCACCTCATTTTATCTACAATTTGTATTTTATATCACTACCTAAATCACTATGAGTATAAGATCCAAGCAGAGTCTAAGCAATTTTATGGAAGATTCCCACTTAAATTAAATTGCTTGAGGTTGGTAGGAGTTGATGGATAGCTTATTACGTGCTTAGCACATTAGTAGTTGCTGCTCATGATGGGTAATTGTCCTGGTCTCCTGGATCATAAGGAGATTTAATAGTTTTAGCTTTGATGTTTTTATTTTAATGGGCCGACAACCAATATCAGTTTTTATTGATATATAATAGAAAATAGAGGTAGATTTCATACTATGTGCAAAAAAACAAAAAAGAAAAAGAAAAAGAAAAGAAAAGGTACAACACCGCCTGAAACTCCATGGTCGTTCGGCAAGCAACAAACACCGATGACTTGCATTATTTGTATTACATTTGACTGCTGAGATGATTTTATCAATAGCTTGAGCTTGGCAATGTATGTGCTCATGGCGTAATGTCACATTGAGAAAACTAAAACTATGCCTTAACATGTGGTTTCACTACTCTACAATTTTTCCACCACGAGTTATGATGCCACACACTGGTTATCCAAACGTTGAGGGGGGTAGAGGAGGGCAAAGGAAGATATAATGAGCGGTAAAGAGCGGATATATTAGCTGTATTGATCGATCATTTAACTAAAAAAACTCACGAGGACTGAAATGGATGGGCTGACCGTGATTGACGGAGGATTACATTTATACTGTTGTTGATGTTGGAAAGCACCACCACACCAACGTTGTGTGCAACTCACACAAGTGCATCTTTGGGGTTCTTTTGTGAAAATTGGATCATTACTAGTTTCTAAAATACCGTAAAATGAAAGAAGAATACCAATTTAGAGTTTGGAAGAGATTAGGAGGAAAAGAGTAAAAGCCAAAGGCAAATAATAATAATAATAATAATAATAATAATTGATTTTTAATCAGTTTGATGCTTTAATTAGCCGTGTCCCTTCATTATATATGGTCGGGAAACCTTATCCCATGATTTTATACTAAGATATCAAGATTTAAGCTTAAAGAGACCTAAAAACTAGTTTGGCCTTTCAAAAAAGCTGATTTGCATATAGAAAAACTAAACCCTTTGATTTATGAAATATGACACTCTGGTTTCTTGGATTTTAGTTGCCATAAATCAATGGCGAAGCTAGAGCAAATTAGAACATCAGAGGGGGGTGCTTGTGCTTTGTGGAAACATGTGCCATAGGGGTGTATATCTATACCTAATAATAAAGAAGCAAAATTTCAAACATTTTTTATACCATTATTTTGGTCTGGTCTAACTAACTCCATCAACATGGAAACCATCACATATCCGTTGTTGTGTTTGTTATGGAAACCGATGGCCAAACGACGCTGGATAAGCCAAAACACGTGACTTTTCTTCTCCAAAATACTACCCGGACGCTCATACGGAAAACAAGGTGGCTGGTGCTTTTCTTTTTTTTGCTTTTCCTTTTTCTATTATATATATTATATATATACACATGCCGGTAGAGAACGTGACTTGCTTCTTTCTACAAAACACTACACCGAAGCTCTCTTAAAAGCACCGGCCTTTCTCTGGCATACTAGCTTGGATTTCGTCTTGGGGTTGGACATCGCGGCGCTGACGAAGTATCAAGCATGGCCAGCGTCGGGCTGAGGCGCGACGCTTTGGCCGTGTGCGCGCTTCTTTCCGGCCAGCCTGGTGGTGCGGACCTCCGTGACTTTTAGCGCATGATCTTCTGGGTTTCTGCATTGTCCTTGTAGAGCTTGTGCGTGTCAGCGTGTGGATGAGGAGGCGGTAGAGCAGCTCGAGGAAGTCCTTGAGGTAGCTGAATTCGGGGAGCGCAAGAAGGTTACAGGCGAGCGTCTTGGGATGGCGCTCGTGCATGCAGAGCGCGGCGGCATAGAAGCCCTCCCTATCGGACTTGCTCGTTCCGCGAGGTTCGTGATAAGCTTTAAGGCCCGTTCGGTCAGAGATGAATGTAGCAAGGAATCATTCCAGTTAATAAAAGCTTGTATAAATTAACTATCAATTCCGGCCGGAATTTTTCTTGGTAGCCATTCCGTGTGAAACGAACGGGTCTTTAGAGTGGTGAGCGGGCCGGTCGTGTGCCCATGCAATGGTGACGAGCTCGCGCACGCGCTAGGCCGACGTGTCGGGGATGACCTGGACGAAGAGGTGGAGGCAGGGGGTTGTCGGAACTCGTGTAGGTGGCCGAGTTGTTTTCCATCCGCGCCATGCGAGGCGCCGTTGGTAGCATCAGAACCAATTGGAGAGTCCTTGTTGAAGAAGGCGTCGAGAAGGTCGAGGAACGGGTGGAAAGTGGGGGATTAAACCAATAAATTGCTGAGATAAAAGAGAATCTAAAAATTAAAACATAGCCATAATATATGTTCAGAGCATCTCCAACCCTGAAAATTATTATTAAAAGGAATCAACATGAGCTGCAGCATGTGCCTTTCCTTGTTCTTAGATGGATTGTAAAGAATTAAAAAAATAGTAGACCCAAGTGTTGACACGGTTAGTATGCCAAGTCAACCTAATTTAGGATTAGTTCATCCATTGCAAACCCCCAAGAAGCAAAGGACATGTGAAGAAAAAGGTAACCAAAGAAACTATCTAGGCGTGATTCACTTGCATATTGTTCTCTGTCTAGAACAGGGTCCTCTCCAAAAAAGAAAAGGCCTGCAAGAAATAGGAGGGGGATTGGTTATGTCCGTACATGGCTCTATCATGTAGCCATGTCCATACCACCAGTAGTATAATAGACTGTAGTCCCGTTGCAACGTACGGACATATTGGTTAGTATAGTAAAAATTTAAACAAAATCACCGTTTTAACAAAATTTAGGGGGGTTGAATGTAGCTTCGCCTCTGCCATAAATTACACATCCACTGATGATCTATATATGTATTTCAATTTGCCTCGATTAGAGCTACACAATGTTGAAATCCATACAGTCATTAGAAGTTATTTCCGAAACCAAATGTTTCAGTTTGCGAAACCAATATCCGTTTTTCTAAACTACATAGTATCGACATATCTGGGTCGTTGACACATACGCTTCCTTTTTTGGCAAATATTGCATGCTAAAAATACTCTTCTAGACCAAATTATGCAAGGACGAAGATGAACAATAAATCGATTTTTTCTAATAAGGGTGATAAAAACTTTATAGGTCATGGCACTTTATTTCAAGGTGATGTTCAAACAACTTTCTTCGACCTCCATATCTGCTTAGTGAATACTTTGTTGGTACGTATCATTCAACCAATCGCTTTATGGATTCTTACCAGCGTATTTGTTGTAGTCTTCTCTTTCATGTACTCCCTCTGTCCGGAAAAGAATACAACTACGTGTTGCGTGCCAGCAAAAGTAGTTCATGTTTGATCATATTTCTAATAAATAGTGTTCACATTTACGGCTCCAAAATAATTTATTATAAAAATTTATTTCGTAATTAATCTAATGATATTTATTCGATATCATAAATATTAATACTTTTTTATCTATAATTAATAGAACTTAAGATATAAAATCATGACACTATACTTAGAATTGCATTCTTTCAGAGAGTACGAGACAAGAACAGACGACATCAGATCAAAGATATGCCTTTTCTCTACTACCCTTATTATTTTCTTTAGTACCGTATTATTAATAACAATCGATCGTTATGATGCTCCATAATTTAAGTGTATATCAATATGTTATCGAAATACAACATTAGGCTACATATACTTAGTACTAAATTCTAGGCGACTAATTGGGCGCATATCACCAAGAACATAGGCCGAACAAGAGAACATGACGTCTTTGTGGCACAATTACATTTTTGCGTTGTGGTCGATGTAAAAATCCGGCTGCTCCTAATGTCATGGCGACAGTTTTAAAATTCTTAACTTCAATTGTTCGATCGATTGCCTTGCATCTTAGTGACTTCCCAACGTTTTTTAATTGCTTGGCTTCACCTTGTTCTTCTTAGTGACTACGTATTTTATCCAAATGCCTCAGTGACCGTACGGTATCCGTCACTGTGATGCCTCGTGCTATTCCAGCTATAAAATACCCTTGGCCTGCTGCTGAGCGCATCATTTAGAAATTAGAAGTGACTTTGCTTCTAGAACATTGTAGATTGCCACTAAAATAGGATAAACTAGAATTCCAAACACCACGGCCTCACAGAAAGGCCCTTCAAAAGAGAAAATTTGCCGCCGGACTCAAGTCGACGCCCGCCGAATCGCCGACACTATGGAGGGAGACGACCGGAGGGCCCCACTGCTAGGTTCCGGCTCCGGCGCCGGCAGCCGCCCCCCGTCTCTGCGGCGCCGCGACTCGGCGCGGTCGCTGCGCAGCAGCTTCCTGTCGCGGCTGCCCGACAAAGTACGCGCCGGGCGCGACCCGGAGCGCCTCGCCGACCTCGACCTCTCCCGCGCGAAAGGCCTATCCCAAGGTAACAAAACTTGCGAGCTCTGATCCCTCACCCTCATCGGTTCATCCCTCCTACCCTCTCCGCCTCTCGTGCGTGTAGGTGTGAGAGAGTACTACGAGAAGCAGTTCGCGACCCTGAGAACCTTCGAGCAGGTGGAGGCGCGATGCATGTCCGGCGAGTTCGATTCGGATGTCGATGCCTCCGAA